TTCCGAACAATTGTAGAATAATTCACAATTATCTAAAACCATTTGTTCTTGCTCGAATTGTTCTGGACAATTTTAGAATTTTAGTATACTCTCCAGAATCATTAAGAATTATCTTAGAACTGATTAGGACTATTTGAAACCATTCCGGACAATCGTAGAATAATTTAGAACTATCTAAAATCATTTAGAACAGACTCAGGACTATTCGTAACGGTCGACGATAAGTTTAAAAATTCCAGAACCATTTAGAACTGTTTATAGTTTTTAGAAGACTATTTAGAATTATTCAACTGAATTTAATGAAATATAATACGTCAAGTACTTCCCTTTATTCATCAAAATATTATACTTACAATAGAGATTTAATATTGGAATTAAACAAACTTTTTCTCCAATTATGACTATTAGTTTGTACAGGTATTGGAAATGGGTCCTTGGAAACGATCGATGGGCATTATCGAAGTTAGAGTCGAATTTTCCCTAAGTCCCTTATTCTACTTCGACATGAGCAACCTGTTTTACCGTGTATAATTGATAAAGAGGATTCGAGCCGCGTTTTCCAGGTCCTTCGGCTGCCCGCATGTTCTATTAAATTTAATCCTCGCGCGGCTTCATTAAAACAAGTTATAATTCCGGGCGATTGCTAATAGAATAGATTCGGGAGATTTTTAACGAAAAGAAAAAAAGGGCCGTCGCGACGGCCCAGGTGGATTTAGCGGATAATTTCCGGCTAAATTCGTTGCGGGGCGATGCGTGAAATTTTAATTTCAATATGTACTTTGTGAAATTGGTTCGAAAATGCATTGAAGTTAAATGTGTCCGGCCCGTTTCCGCGCTTTAATTTTAATATGATTAAAAAAGTAATTAGTTTTTTTTCTCGTTGGCACGACAACCGGATTAGGCGCCTCGGCGAATAAGACTTTAATTTTAGGTATATTAAATCACTATTTAACGATTTAACGATCGCCTGTATAATTATAATAAAAAACTTTTTTACTACCCGCTTAAAAGTTACAGCTCTAACTAGTAACGGAAGGGAAATTAATTTCTCACCATAATGCCTAATGATGATGACAAGTAACTAGTTAATTACAGTTTTTATATCGATGTTATAAAAACTCGCAAGTATTTTATGAAAAAATCGTCCGATTGAAATATCTAAAAAAAACGTCCAATTCGGAACCAACAAAGGGAGCGATAGAAAAAAAATCTCCAATTCATTCTCTTATTTAAAACGCCGAGATATACGACTTTGAATAAATCACTCACTACCCGGCGGAAAAACCGGGTCGCAAAAACTTGATTTGTGGGCCAACGTACGGCTTTTACCGTGCATTTCCGCGAGAATCGTTCGACGAGAATCGATCTCCATCGAGATATCGATTCCCGAATTGACCGCCAACCAGCATTTTTAATCGACGCGCCGTTTTCGCACTAAAACCTTCATTAACCGAACCTAGGACGGGCTTAGCGGGAATAACGTTCGCAAAATCAATTTGCGTTCGGTATTATGATGAATGACGAAACGCCGATGAGCTTATGATCTCATTACAGGGATGGTTTCAATCTCCTTGGGGAAAATTACCTTCGGCGACGAATGTTTCGATTCGGCGACTGATCAAGTGCGACGCGATCGATTAGAGGCGACCGCAATCGCTTTCTTTGTCGCCGGGTCGCTAAATAAACAGCTATTTAATGTTTGCCTAACGCCGGTGATTCGGCGAAATGTTTGTTCATCAAGCGCTGATTAAGCTAAAACTTGTATCTAATTAGTTTGTAATCAATAAAATACAGCGTATAGAGTAATGCAAACTACCGTATAGAGTTTTTGAGACAATCAGCCGCATTAGATCGTTAAGTGTAAACTCTCCTTTATATTTTAAAAATTTTTGACACTTTTGTGCGAACTTGCGTTTCTAAAGAGACTATTTAACACCTCAATTCGCCACATTAGATCGCCAATTGTTAACTATCCTCTATATTTGTAGGATTCCTGACACTTTTATGCGAATTAGCGCGTCTCAAGAGTCTATTTTGCATCTCAGTTCGCCGCATTAAATCGTCAAGTGTAAACTCCCCGTTAGATTTGTACGATTTCTGTTCACTTTTATGTAAACTTTCGCGTTTCCATAGGCTATTTTTTACGCCTAATCGTATTAGTACGCCGCACTTGCCGCATAAAAGAAAAAACGTTTATAGTTTATCAGTTAATTGCGTAGATAATATTCGGGTGATTAACCCAATTCGGCGCATAAAACCGACATCAGTTCGCCCCAAATCATGTATCGATTAATTAATATTCCATTTGCGGATATTAAAGCTAATCTACAATACCTCCGCCGCCGTCGGGCCGGCCGTATACAGTAAATTACTGGTAATTACCTTGTTATTACTCTTACCGACTCGTTTACATTAGAATGCACGTATTGACAATAATAATACCTAATCAATTTATCAAGCTAACGCACCGGAATCACTCCCTCTACCTGCATTAATTAAACTATATATTTAGCGAATTACTGTCCACAGCATAAAACCTTCTTGAGCTCCGGAATTGGTGAATGTTCCTGCAGGAAATTAAAGATCCGAATTAGCATAGGTACTGTTAAGGAGTACACGTTAAGATGTTTTAAGCACCCCCGGGGAAATCAACGACAAGTTATAAATCGTTCCCGGAACAAATACGTTTCGGATGAAAATATCCCGGAAAATGGCGTCATCTGTTTACGAGCGCGTCGATGAAGCATCAAGTGAAATTAAGTCCCTGGAGTTAATTCGCTGCATAAACTGTTAGGGGCGTCGATGTTGTAAGTAATTTTTTTTTTCGGTGCATTTTCCCGAAAATTCCGGATAAAATTGAATTACATTAGGCCGCGCGGGCGGGACGCGGGGAATTAGAGTGAACAAACATAAAGTTCACTCGAAGAGACAGCAATTATGCTACTCCAAGAAAAACAATTTGGCATTAAATTCGGCGTGAACTTTTCCAGTTTTCCGGGGCGCTGTCCCGGACGCCGCCCGGAATTTATTTCGTTTTAAACTCCGCCGTATTTACATTATAAATGGAAGCCTGCGAAAAATTTATCCTACCAAATGTGCCCTAGCATTTAGATACACATTCGATCAATCCTCGATTGATTTTTTTTACTTAATTATTAAACGCTCCCGCTCGTTTGTTAATAAAGAAGAGAATAAACGAAAAGGTTTTCGATGTTCGATGAACCGAAAATCAAGTGAATCCCGACGAGAGAAAAAAAAATCTTATTTACGTGCGAACAACGCTGAAATTTGTTTTCCCGAGAAACAATGACAGTAACTGAGAAACCTACTCAATATAATGCGATAGTCGAAGACGACTCGAAAAATAAAATAAAAAACGAAACGAACGTAAAATGCTAATGAAATTTTTATTTTATTCCCGCCCGAATGTCCCTCTTAATTGCAGCCCGTTGATCACACGAGAACTTGAAAGAAAGTGCTATTTTTAAAGCGGGCCTGCCTCTCTCTCGTCCCGACAATTTGAATAATGAAATATGCATATTAAAAGAAAAATTAACGAACTCCAGTTAAACATCCATTACCGATATAAACGAATCGCTCACGTCTAGGTTTTAATACTTTTATGTTAATCGTCAATTGCATTATACAGAGCGTTAGATGTATCAGTTAAAGGTTGTGTTCTGGGAATTCACAGGAGGTGAAGATGAGGTTAAACGCGGTCAAACCTCACAGGGGTTGTTACTATTAGTTTCTAATTGCTTCCTAGGACCACCTGCCGGGTGTATTCGTGGTATATTCGTACAGTAATTTATGAGATACAGATTTTATGAGAAAATTTGATGAGTGAATCAAACACGCTGTTATATTCGCCCAACGATAGCACGGTTCGCAGATCCACCGATATCCTCAAGATTTTCATCTAATGTACAACCTGAGCCTACTCAATTGCCTTAACATTCTCATTATCTATAATAACTTTGTTGAACTGACAATTCGGCTTCTCTAATAATATATGGACTTCCTTGCTAAAATTCACTCCTGTTGTAACGTCATTTAATTGCACCATGTTTCACTCGTGTACAGTCTATTTTATCGTGCTCGAGCCCAGAAAACTACTCCCAGAACTTAGTGAAAATATAAATTGTTTCGCTCGTAGACGATTTACTTTCGAGTTTACTCGTAGATATAGCACTTGCTTCATTCTCCCAATTTGAAGCATCAAATTTTAAGGAAAAGGATGTAAGGAGTCGTGTTTATGATTAAAAAGGCATTTTTTTCCACCATATATTTTTGCGAAGATCAACGGAGGGAAATATTTATTGTTTGTCTTTATTGTTTGTCATATTTTTCCATCACTAATACTGCTGATCGCAAAATGACTCATTTGTATTTGGGACTTTACCTTTAAGTCATGCTACAGCATGTTACGCAAATAAAATCTACACGACTACACTTTATAAATATTTGTAACACGAAACTGTCTGAAAACCGTTGTATTTTATATCCGTTGGTTTTACCGAGAATAATCAAATATGTTTTCATATAGGTTTTTTATACCTAAATCTTGCCGTTTTTGAAAAAAATCGAGTTTTGTGATTTTGCAGCGCTTATTTTAATGTTCAGATTTTCGATAATTATTTTTTTAGGTAAAATTAATAACGCAGCATTACAATGGACCAAATTTTATGTTACACTTTTCAAAAATTCGGAAAAATGTACAGGATATCCAAACAAATAGTTCTCTTACATTTTTTTTCATAACTCCTAAACTACTTGAACTAGAAAGTTCATTTCTAACTCAGTTTGTAGAAAAAACTCTACGCTTTAATTTTCATTAATATTTTTTATTTCTACATTTAGTAATTTTCCAGATAAGGCACACAACTTTTGCTAGTCAAAACAACGAATTCTCTCACATTTTCTTTCATAACTCCTAAAACTACTTGAGCCTGAAAGTTCAATTCTAGCTCAGTTTGTAGAAAAAAATCTACGCTACAATTTTCGTATAATATTTATTTCTATATTTCGTAGTTTTTTAGATATAGGTAACGCACACAATTATCGCTAGTAAAATTTTATCAAAAAACAACGAATTTCTTTTATTATTCCCAAACTACTTGACGTACAAAACTTCTAAGAGTTCGTTAGTACGTTTCGTAAATTTCGTTCAAACGATTACATAATGACATCGTCGATATCGGTTCGTGGAACGGGCCGGAAGGCCTGTTGTCTCCGCAAATCGTCGGGCACGTACAGCAAAATGACCGTGCCAACAACTAAACAGGCCAAATAAACAACCAGAAAGTGGAACGTGTCCATTACTTGCATCAAATAACCGGAGGATACTATCAGTACGGTGCCGCAGGTTTGCACCGATGCCATTACCATACTCATTGATGTGCATTCGTCCAATGGATAGGTGAGTTCTATGTTGAATTCGTAGCCTGCCGAGACGTAAGGACCGGCGAAGAAGCTACGACAAAATCGTACGATAGAAAGTTTCGTATTATGTTCTGATAAAAAAAGTACCCGGAAATTATAATTCATGCTATTGTATTAGAAAAGTAGTAAGTTACCTCAACATCTCCCGTTGAACCGCTCGATAGAGCTGAGTTTAAATTCTTTTAAAAACGACTTTATCAACTGGTCGATGCTGATTCGTGTGAAGTACCATCGACCAGCCACGTGACTCACCAGATATAGCCCCGTGCGACTTTTTTTTTGTTTCCCAAACTCAAATTGCCGCACTTCGGGGATCCCGTTTTGGCTCCATAAATACCATTAAAAATTCGCAAAAGGAGCTAAAAGCCGTATAGCAAGAAATGTTTCGATGATTGAAAAAGGCTTCTAGCTATGTGCATCGCTTCAAAAGGACCATATTTTGAAGAACACTCGAAAAATTTTAATGAAAATAATAGGAATTTTGCGTTTTATTCCAAATTTCCGGCTACTTTTTTCGTCACAGTATAGTAAATTAGATGTGAATATACTCACCCGAACAAACAGATGGTGAGGTAAACAGCGATTTTCGATTCGAATTTCAACGATAACATTACGAGTAGAAAAGCAATCGTTTGGCAAACGTTAATTAACAAATTTAATTGTCTAAAAAGGATATAGTTATTATAACGTAACTATCGAAACTAATAAAATGAATTTACTTGTATTTGCGGGTTTTATCCAAAATTAACCCGAATATGATGGTTCCTACCATGGCAGCAACGATGAACCCGAATCCCATCCAGCCCACATCTTGTTCGGCTCCCTGGATTAAATAATTTAATTAACATCAAAATTCCCACGAAACGAAAACTCACCGGAAAATATTGCAAAACTAATTGACTCCAGAAAACGATTATCACGTTCGCTATGGAAAAATTAATACTGTAAGCCAACAAATGGATAACGAAGCCCTTATTTGCCAACAACGATTTCAACGTGGATAAATAGGAGATTTTTTGGAACTTGTGAGATTGCCTGATTTGCCTCAGCGTGGCCTGTGCTTGATTAGGCGGGTATTTGGGTTCATCCGGAAAGCCTGGAACATACACAATTATTACGTACACCTTAAAATTTCCTGGATACACTCTAATATTTAAACTTTAAATAATTTAAACAATTTAAAGTATAAAAATTGTTAATTAATTAATGACATATCATAATTAATAACATATCTTTTGTGGTTCCTAAAATAAACTTGAGAATAAGAAATAAAAAGCTTTTCCAATGTTTAAATTCAAGTAGTTCACCTATAAATCGTATGATGCATGAAAGTAATGAATGTATACAAGCATGTAACATAGATTTCTTTAATAGTTCTGTGGGACAAATTAGATCTGTGATTTTAGGTAGCTCAAAGTATAAGTAGGTATTTATTTGTTTTACTAATATACAGGGTGTCCCACGACGAGTTAAAACTATCTGTACATTGGAAACTACTTATCCGATTTAAATTTTGTATTCATATGTTATGCAATAAGACGAACCTCTTAAAAATATTTTGACAGTCTTACCACTTCCGGATATACCGGAAGTAGGCAATAACACCCTATATATTAATATATTTTCGAAATCTACGTAAAATTTTAGGGTACTATTGTCTAAAACACTTTTTTCAAAAAAGCATATTTTTTGAGTAAATATTTTTTTTTTTAATTTTACCGATGCAGACCCTTATAAATTATTTTTTTACGGGAATACCCTTAAAGATATGGAAATTGTTTCTGTAGGGTGGCTATTAGAAAGGTCAGAGGTATTTGAACCTGCGTTGAAAAACTATTTATTTTATACAGGGTGTGAAGAAAAATTAAAAGTTCAACTTCAAAAACATAAAATTTCTTCATTTTTTTTAAATGGAACCAATCAGCGGTTAAAAATAAGGGAAGTTCATGTTTAAAATTAATAATCAATTAATTACAAACAATTTACATGGCCAACTTGTAAAACAGAGTTATTTAGGAATAAGACAGAAAAGTAAGATTTATGTAAAATATTCAATATCTTCAAAACTATTAGGTTTAGGTATAGGGAAGTAAACATGAACTTCCCTTATTTTTGACCGTTGATTTCATTAAAATTGAAAAAAATGGGTGGTTCCTTTTAAAAAAATAAAGAAATTTGATATTTATGAAATACAACTTTGTTCAATTTTGTAGACGCCCTGTATAAAATAAATAGTTTTCAACGCAGGTTCAAATACCTTTGACCTTGCTAGTAGCCCCTTACAGAAACAATTTCCATATCTTTAAGGGTATTCCCTTAAAAATAATTTATAAGGGTCTGTATCGGTAAAATTTTTCAAACAAAAAATATGCATTTTTGAGTAAATTTGATACATATACAGATACATATATTTTGATACAATATACAGATAGTTTTAACAAGTCGTAAAATTTTAGTCTGTTTAGTTGTTTAGTTGGTATTTAGTTATAATTTTTCTTACCGTCATGTTAAGTCAGTAAGCACTCTCTTAACATGTAATTACATTTTAATGTGTTTGAGTATAATGAACAAATAAATAAATATTACACTTACATAATAACGCTAGAATTGTAACGGGCGCCATCAAAGCCGCTAAAACCCAACACAATATTTTCAAACCCTCGCCTATATCGTTTAAATTATCAGAATCGTGTACTAGTGAAGTGGGTAAGATATACGCTAGTAGATATCCCATATCATAACCGAATACTCCCAAGGAACAGGCAGTCGATACCTATGTACATATAAATATAATAGTTAAATAAATATGGAGTTAAATTAATAAATATGGAGTTAGTGTAAGATGAATGGATATGGAATCGCTGTATAAATAATAAGTACTATAATACACACCTCGTTTTCTTTGAACCAAATGGAAGCTATTTTAGGCGGCAAACACATAATGAATAACTGCGAAACAGCGGCGACGGTTTGACCGAGCATCAGTACCCAAAATAAATTAGTACCGACGGAAAATATTTTAATGAATGTCGCTATAAAGGTTCCTATACATCCTATCAACCCCGCCAATCGTAGGCCCTACGATATATAGGGTGTTAATTAATTGAATGCCGATACTTCAGGATGTGAATTTTTGGATGATTTTAAGAAGAAAAGTTTATATCAATGTATGTCCTAAGCCTCTTAGTTTTCTACAGGGTGTTAAAATTTTAGGAAAAAAAAACTTTTCTATCAAAATTTTCTTATTACTCCAATTATATTTAAGAAATTTTGTATACACTTTTTAATTATTAAGGAGCATTTTTTGAGGCATAAGATTTTTTTAAATATTCACCAGTGACGTCTGTACGGGGTTTGAACTGAATATATTTGAAAAAAAAATGGTACACCACTGCTTTTTCTAAAAACTATAATTATTTTTAAAATCCTCATTTATTTTGTAGCAAATTCGGCCAGAAGACTTATTTTCGTATTTCAAAGTTCATTTTGAGACTGCTTTTGATATTTTGTTGAAATTTGATAGACGCCCACCATGCATGGAAACACTTTTTTTGAATAAAAATTAATTTTCTACTATTATCAGTGACGTCCACATCCGAAATTTCATAAAAATATCTGCCGTAATAAGAAAATTATGATAGAAAAGTTACTTTTTTTTCTAAAATTTTAACACCCTGTAGCTCGAAAACTAAGAGGTTTAGGACATACATTGATATAAACTTTTCTTCTTAAAATCATCCAAATATTCACATCCTGAAGTATCGTCATACGATTAATTAAAACCCTGTATAAAATTAGTTTTGTACATTATTTTACTTCAAAAGGAGATTATAGTTGATGAATAAATATTTTACCTTCTTTTCGATAATGTAAGAAACTGGTATGGCGAGCAATGGATAAGCGGCCAAATAAATCGTCGATGTCCAATCGGCTGCGATCGTGCTAACTTTGTAATATTTCACCACCAAATTCGATATGCTGGCGTATTCGATGAATTGCAAACAATTGAAGCACGTGTAATAAACGTAGATTGTTAGAATTATCCATCTTTTTTTCACCGGTTTGATTATTATAGAAGGCTGGCAAGTTAATTTTTCGGATGGTTTTAATAAATTATTGTTCATTTTTTTTAAAACGATTTGAACGATACGTTAGACGAGAAAAACTCGATAGAATTTGAAAATTTAGCTAATTAAGGTAAATTTCTATAAATGATGCCCAATTTTACCATTTTATGGTTTTATACTGTTTATGCCTTCTATACTTTATTATGCGAAATTAAAATTAAGAATTTTTTATAATGTCGTATACCTTTATGTATCTATAAATATCTTCAAAGGTAAATATTTCAAAAGCGAGTCGATGGATTTTGATATTTTTTTTTGTTATTTTCATTTGTAATTTTTTATACTATCTCACGAAAAAACGCATTTACATTTACAGAAGGTATAAATACTACATCAATTTCATTATTGGCAAAAATTTGCTATAAAGAAGATATAAAGTGGTAATTTACAATTCGTTGATACAAATTTTGAAATCGTTATTGTTTTATAATTTTATAACATGCTGTTAAATACTTTACACATCAGATGAATTGCAATTTTTACTAGTTTCATAAGGATAATTATAATTGCTTATCTTTCAAGTTCATATTTAGGTATTCAGTAAATAAAAATCACTATAAATCATAGTCAATATACAGGAAAAATATACAGAGTGTGTCCCAATAAAAAATAGCCCATTTAATCGGCTTTTATAACTTTTAAACGCTCAATTTAATTCTCTATAAGTAGATAATTTATTTATGTATTTATCAATTATTTTTTTTTGGTTCGTAAAAAATAAACGTTTTGAAATGAAGAAATACAATATTGTATAAGGTTTGTATAATATACTATACAGGGTGTTCAAAAAAAGTTTCACAAAATGAAGTGAGTGGTAGTATGGCCCAAAATATGCAGAAAAGTCTTATAAAAAAGGTGTCCGCTAATGAGCCGTTTGGCAGTAGAGCAATAGAAAGGGTGGAAATTTTAAAAGGAAAAAGGCCAATATAATGAGATGTATCGACATTTAAAATAAATGCTCAGACACGTCAATTTTAGTTTTTAGGGGGACACTTTCCTGTCCTAATTGCAGAAATAACCCATTAACCCTCGAGGGGTGGGAGTAACAACCCTTACAATTTTAAAAGGAAAGTACCAAGTGTTGTATATTTTTGAAAAGGTAATTTTATGAAGAATTCAGCAATACCAATATTGTCTGGCCAAATTTCGATTTTAGCGCCCTCTTGAATTAATAAATAATATTACCAAGGTATATTCTTATGTAAAATCAACTTAAATGCAAAACATAGCTGTAGTATCGCCCTTTTTGTTTTGTTTAATTTCCCAGATAAATGTGATTAGAGGATAATCTTCTTATTTCTTATTTGTTGCATTAAATTTCTAATAAAAATATCTTTCGAATGAGGTGTCACACAGTGAATTACGTAACAGTTATTCTTCCGCCAATAGGGCGCTAAAGTTACAATTTGACACAATACCATTGGTATTGCTGAATTCTCAATAAAACTACCTTTTTAAAAATGTACCTCACTTGGTACTTTCCCCATTTTAATTTTGACAGTATTGCTCTACAGGCTCATTGACGTTTTTAAGAAATGATCAAAATGATAAAAAAAAAATGATAAAAATTTTCACCATCCTCGCCTGTTTGGCGTTGGTTCAAAGCAAATTCGTCAGGTTAATATACAATCTATTACATTGATACGTAATTAGAAATGGATAAAAATAAATATTACTTTGCAGGATACCTTTGAAGACGATGAAATCGGCTAGGCAAATCATAAGAGAATCGGGATTGAGCGAAATAAGCGATTCTTTACCTTCTTGGAGCAAATACCAATCAAGAGACATTATTTTGAATAACAACGAAGATGTAAGTACAAAAACATCTTCAATGTAAATCTTCAATGTACATAAATGATACTGTAATACTGATAATACTCTCTACGAATATTTATGTAAATTTTTCCATCAGTATGAATACTATGGAGAAATAAGCATCGGTACACCGCCCCAAACCTTCAAAGTCTTTTTCGACACCGGCTCATCTGCCTTTTGCGTACCTTCGAAGAAATGCGAGAGTGATGACAAACCCTGTCGTAAGTACAATAATACAAAAAAACAAACAATCCTATATTATTCGCTATCATAGAAAACCACAACAAATACGACTCGACAAATCTTCAACCTACAAAGCCAACGACACCAAGTTCAATATTATGTACGGTTCCGGGTTCGTCGAAGGGTTCCTATCCTCCGATAATGTCGAGGTAAAAGTGCACATTAAATTGATTAGTAACTTCGTAAATTAATAATTTTAATTGCAGATCGCCGGTATTACAGTGACTGATCAATTATTCGGTGAAGCTACTGACGAACTCGGCAATTCTTTTGATGTGGGAAAGTTCGATGGTATCCTAGGAATGGGTTACAACAGTCTAGTCAGAAAACCGAACACAGTGTTGGCGAATTTAATCGCTCAAAACGCTGACCTTTCGCCAATCTTTTCTTTCTACTTAAACAGGTGAGACGGTTTCGGTGATTTTTTTACAAGATTTCTATCTTTAATATTTACAGGGATACTGATGGAAAGATCGGTGGAGAATTGACGCTAGGAGGAGCAGATCCCCAATATTACAAAGGCGAATTCACTTACCTCACTGTAAGCACACAAGAATACTGGCAAATAAAAATGGACAAAATCAACGTTGGTTCTAGTGCATTTTGCGCAGGTTCCTGCAATGCTATCGTAGATACCGGTACCAGTTTTATCACGGGACCTAAGGAAGAAATTGATAAGCTTCAAAATGTAGGTAAGATTTTGAAATGTGCAAACATATGTAATAAATGACTGAATTTAGGCTATTGGAAATAAACGTTTTAGAGGTACATACTATGTTGATTGTAATAAGGTGTCTTCATTGCCTGACGTCGACTTCGTTTTGAACGGTAAAACATTCACTTTGAAGTCTAAGGACTACGTAGTTAAGGTGAGAGAAATAATGTTTCAACATCTATTAGGTGTATTTTAATCCGTTAAACTATTTAATTTACTTATTGCAGTTTATTGAAAGAAACGGGACTACTGCTTGCCTGTCGGGATTCGATGGAGTTACCTTTAATCCAGGTGATGAAGGATTTTGGGTTCTGGGTGAAGTTTTTATGGGAAAATACTACACGAAATTCGATTTCGAGAACAACCGTGTTGGATTCGCTGAACTTAAATAATTAAATAATCTTAATGTTTCAATAAAGTTTTAATTTCAACGTTTTCGCTTAATTTCGTTTAAAAAAGAATTTGATAAAACTATAAACAGAAAAAATTAAATATTATTATACAGGGTTTTTGACTGTAGCTGTGCATTTGAACTTTTAGGAGTTCTTGAAGAGTTAATGATTTGAAAATTTAGGAATAAGGTATGTATAGTCAATATTTTGAGTTTTTCTAAAATATTTTCAACAATATTTAACTTCCTGTCAGGAAAATACCATTTTTGACTTCATTTTTGGATTTTGTTGCTTTCCTTAACTATGTTTATTTGGTTTACTTATTTTAAACTGGGTTTTCATGTTTCATTTACAAAGCGTTTAAAATTATCTGACTAACTTGGAATACTTAAGTATTTTAACCGACATAGAAAATGCCATAAGTTTTGCGAATTTAAAAATCTTGCATCATAGTATTATTAGTCCTAAAGACTTGAAAGAAGTAGATTTACCTGTATCACTTATACATATTGGAAATAAATTTTCGGATAATAGGGAAAATCGACGTTAAATTCTTAGCCGGCTAAAGTCTAAATCCCGTCTACCAGTGTACATTTCAATAGAACGTCGCGATAAATTCTAATAAATTTAATTGTTACACTGGACCGCACTTAGCGCTTTGGTTAGGTTATATTGATTTGCCTATTATGCCTGAATTTATTTCCAATACTGTATGCCATTCCAAATAAAAACCAAACAGTTATTGTTCCTCCTTCTACCTTTCTCCTAATGAGCAACGAGAAGTACCAATACCAGAACGAAGAATGCTTAGATCTACAAACCGATTATCTTTGCCTCAAAAATCGATTACTGCCAATGGAAGAAAATGCCGACTGCTTCACCTCCATACTCTCCCCTTCCGACTCACCGAGAAACTGCATCAAAATCTCAGCAAAAATTACAAATCTAATCATAGAAGAAATCAACGATAGTCATTACATTGGTATTATCCCGACTCCCGAGAAGATACGACTAGAATGTGAAGAAAAGGATGTTCAATTTCATATCCAAAATTCCTCTGCAAAAATGAAAAACACACCATATTAGGCCACCCAATGACACTAAAAGACATTCCTTCAAATAGACCATGAAAACTCAGTTTAGTTTCATTTAGTACTGTGTCTGAACATTATCGATAATCAAATTTCAAACTTCTAGGTGAATATTACCAGAGATATCATAGAAACTGCATTCGACAGTTTTTCAAAAAAAAAAAAAAATCGAAAAAAATTAAATAACTCAAAAGTGGCGCATTTTTGGCACATGGTGTTATTATCAACGTCTAGTTAAAAAGAGCCACAGAATCCAAAAATGAAGTCAAAAATAGTACTTTCCATTTGAAATAACAACAAAGTTGACAACGACTTCCAGTATAACCGGATGTCACCAACCATAGTTGAAAATATTTTAGAAAAACTCACAACATTGATTATTATCCTTTACTTCCAAATTTTCAGAATTCTTCAGGATCTCCTATTACTTCTAATGGTCGGTTTCCTTGAAAAGTACTGTATGTTATGCAATAAGACGAACCTCTTAAAAATAGTTTGACAGTCGTACCACTTCCGGTTGTTCCGGAAGTAGGCATCAATTTTGTTATTTTAAATGGAACACCCTGTATATTGTCACGATTGGGTAGCGCCACTGGTGGCACCACGGTAAGAGTCAACCAACCGTCTAGTATTTGGTAGCGAAGCACGGATCTTCGTACGTGCTGCAGAAGCACGCATCGAACTTGCTCCAAGGTAAAGCGGAAGCAAAGTCGTCGCGGGCAACTGCTTTATAAGTGGTAGGTTGGCCTGGCTCGGGGAGTCAGTTGAGCTCCAGCGAGGGAGTCAGTTGAGCTCCAGCGAGGGAGTCAGTTGAGCTCCAGCGAGGGAGTCAGTTGAGCTCCAGCGAGGGAGTCAGTTGAGCTCCAGCGAGGGAGTCAGTTGAGCTCCAGCGAGGGAGTCAGTTGAGCTTCAGTAAGGGGACTGGTAAGGTCCAGTAAGGGACTCCGGTAGGAGAGTCCGGGGACTCTCCGTGACAGAGCCCCAACCGCTAAGTAAGTATTGTAGGTACTGTTATAAGCAAGCGAATTATTGTAAGTGAATACTACGTCGAATTATTCCCATCCCAGCACTGTTGGTTCGTAAAACTAGACCCCCTAGCTTGGCATGAAACAACCCAGACAGCACACTATATCCATGGCATATGCCACCAATCTGCCTATTTGCCAAAATATATTGCAATATTTATGGAATATTCACAGAATATACTATGTATGTGTATGTATATACACAGAATATACATACTAGAAAGATATTCTAGGCATATATTTTTTTGATATCCGTGGAATATTCATTTTTCATATCTTGCAGATATCTCTCAGGAATATTCTATATACGAGTATGTACATATAGTAAATCATTCTGGTCATTTCAGAATAGTTCTAAAATTAATCGGGATAGTTTCGAAGAGTTCTAAATCATTCTGGTCTCTTCAGAATAGTTCTAAAATTAATCGGAATAGTTTCGAAGAGTTCTTAATCATTCTGGTCACTTCAGAATAGTTCTAAAATTAATCGGGATAGTTTCGAAGAGTTCTAAATCATTCTGGTCTCTTCAGAATAGTTCTAAAATTAATCGGGATAGTTTTGAAGAGTTCTAAATCATTCTGGTCTCTTCAGAATAGTTCTAAAATTAATCGGGATAGTTTTGAAGAGTTCTAAATCATTCTGGTCACTTCAGAATAGTTCTAAAATTAATCGGGATAGTTTCGAAGAGTTCTAAATCATTCTGGTCACTTCAGAATAGTTCTAAAATTAATCGGGATACTTTCGAAGAGTTCTAAATCATTCTGGTCTCTTCAGAATAGTTCTAAAATTAATCGGGATAGTTTTGAAGAGTTCTAAATCATTCTGGTCTCTTCAGAATAGTTCTAAAATTAATCGGGATAATTTCGAAGAGTTCAAAATCATTCTGGTCTCTTCAGAATAGTTCTAAAATTAATCGGGATACTTTCGAAGAGTTCTAAATCATTCTGGTCACTTCAGAATAGTTCTAAAATTAATCGGGATAGTTTCGAAGAGTTCTAAATCATTCTGGTCACTTCAGAATAGTTCTAATATTAATCGGGATAGTTTCGAAGAGTACTAAATCATTCTGGTCACTTCAGAATAGTTCTAATATTAATCGGGATAGTTTCGAAGAGTTCTAAATCATTCTGGTCTCTTCAGAATAGTTCTAATATTAATCGGGATAGTTTCGAAGAGTTCTAAATCATTCTGGTCTCTTCAGAATAGTTCTAAAATTAATCGGGATAGTTTCGAAGAGTTCTAAATCATTCTGGTCACTTCAGAATAGTTCTAATATTAATCGGGATAGTTTCGAAGAGTTCTAAATCATTCTGGTCACTTCAGAATAGTTCTAATATTAATCGGGATAGTTTCGAAGAGTTCTAAATCATTCTGGTCTCTTCAGAATAGTTCTAAAATTAATCGGGATAGTTTCGAAGAGTTCTAAATCATTCTGGTCTCTTCAGAATAGTTCTAAAATTAATCGGGATAGTTTTGAAGAGTTCTAAATCATTCTGGTCTCTTCAGAATAGTTCTAAAATTAATCGGGATAGTTTCGAAGAGTTCTAAATCATTCTGGTCACTTCAGAATAGTTCTAATATTAATCGGGATAGTTTCGAAGAGTTCTAAATCATTCTGGTCTCTTCAGAATAGTTCTAAAATTAATCGGGATAGTTTTGAAGAGTTCTAAATCATTCTGGTCTCTTCAGAATAGTTCTAAAATTAATCGGGATAGTTTTGAAGAGTTCTAAATCATTCTGGTCTCTTCAGAATAGTTCTAAAATTAATCGGGATAGTTTTGAAGAGTTCTAAATCATTCTGGTCACTTCAGAATAGTTCTAAAATTAATCGGGATACTTTCGAAGAGTTCTAAATCATTCTGGTCTCTTCAGAATAGTTCTAAAATTAATCGGGATAGTTTTGAAGAGTTCTAAATCATTCTGGTCTCTTCAGAATAGTTCTAAAATTAATCGGGATAGTTTTGAAGAGTTCTAAATCATTCTGGTCACTTCAGAATAGTTCTAATATTAATCGGGATAGTTTTGAAGAGTTCTAAATCATTCTGGTCTCTTCAGAATAGTTCTAAAATTAATCGGGATAGTTTTGAAGAGTTCTAAATCATTCTGGTCACTTCAGAATAGTTCTAAAATGAATCGGGATAGTTTTGAAGAGTTCTAAATCATTCTGGTCACTTCAGAATAGTTCTAAAATTAATCGGGATACTTTCGAAGAGTTCTAAATCATTCTGGTCACTTCAGAATAGTTCTAATATTAATCGGGATAGTTTCGAAGAGTTCTAAATCATTCTGGTCTCTTCAGAATAGTTCTAAAATTAATCGGGATAGTTTTGAAGAGTTCTAAATCATTCTGGTCTCTTCAGAATAGTTCTAAAATTAATCGGGATAGTTTTGAAGAGTTCTAAATCATTCTGGTCTCTTCAGAATAGTTCTAAAATTAATCGGGATAGTTTTGAAGAGTTCTAAATCATTCTGGTCACTTCAGAATAGTTCTAAAATTAATCGGGATACTTTCGAAGAGTTCTAAATCATTCTGGTCACTTCAGAATAGTTCTAAAATTAATCGGGATACTTTCGAAGAGTTCTAAATCATTCTGGTCTCTTCAGAATAGTTCTAAAATTAATCGGGATAGTTTTGAAGAGTTCTAAATCATTCTGGTCTCTTCAGAATAGTTCTAAAATTAATCGGGATAGTTTTGAAGAGTTCTAAATCATTCTGGTCTCTTCAGAATAGTTCTAAAATTAATCGGGATACTTTCGAAGAGTTCTAAATCATTCTGGTCACTTCAGAATAGTTCTAAAATTAATCGGGATACTTTCGAAGAGTTCTAAATCATTCTGGTCTCTTCAGAATAGTTCTAAAATTAATCGGGATAGTTTTGAAGAGTTCTAAATCATTCTGGTCTCTTCAGAATAGTTCTAAAATTA